TTTAAACAACCTTCTTTTGCTTTTTGCAAAACACTCTGCAGACCTGCGGACAACCTCTAGAGCACAATCAGAGATGTTTTCTAAGCCGGCACAGTTTCTCCTTGCGAGGCACAGTGGAAAATCGGTTTCCTATATATATGCGACAGGAGATGCTAAAGATAAAGATACGGAGCTCTCCAAAGCTATGTGCTTGTCCCGGGCGTCTTTAGGCAGAACCCGCGATCCGGAGCACACAGCAACCGAGACCATGCTCTGCGACTGGCACAATGCTCTTCACGCGAAGAAGCCGCCTCTTCGCCTCCGCGAGACGGAGAGACCGGCAGCTTCTGAAAAGTGAACAACGAAGCCGCACAACACCGGGATTGTGTGTGCGCAGCTTGCAAAATGATAGAAAACAGCACTTTGCCACTCTCCTGCCTTTTCCAAACACATTAACATTCGAATGCAAGGCATTTTGGACAACTTTCTTCTGCTTCTTGCACAACACTCTGCAGACATGCCTGCAACCTCTACAACACAATTGGAGATGTTTTCTGAACAGGCACAGTTTCTCCTTGCGAGACATAATGAAAAAGCTTTTTACTTAAATATCGGCAAGAGGAGACGCTAAAGAAGAAGTTACAAAGTTCTCCGAAGCTATGCACTTGTCCTGGGAGTCTTTCGGCACATCCCACACTCCGGTCAGGAGCTGGCCTCATCGTCGGCAGAATTGTGCAGCTATGGCTTTAGTAGAAACCAAAGCCCAAAAACTGATGACAGGAGAATGTTTCATGAGACTTACATAAGTCTCACATCAAATTAAAATTTTGTGAACTGAAAAAGCCTCTAAGTAGATGTCCAGGGCTTGGTTAATACAGTCTAAAATTCCCTGAATGGAACAAAAAGATTTAGAAGTGGGGGAGGGTTTAACCCAGTCTCCTGTTAAACAAGGACTTTGAACAGTCCTTGAGAGGGGGTCCGGGAAGAAACTCATGACTGCATTCAAATGATAGATCTCCCGACTTGATTTAGGAGACAACCCCCTGGCTTAAGGGAGGAAATGTGTTTACTAATGAGCTTTCACAGGTAGGGAAGTGAGTTACAGGAAACACTGTTATCAAGGGAAGGGAATTAGAAGAAGGGAGGATGTTGCTGTGAATTAACTAACATTCATACTGATTCTAAGCTTGCATGTGGAGTGGCATACACATTTAGAAATCTGTGGGAGGAAAGAGGTTTAACTTGCAGGGGAAAAAATATTAGTGCATGACAGCTTAATTACTCCTCTCTTGGAGCTGGTGAATTTACCAAAAAGAGGGGCAATGATGTACATTAGGGGACATCAGGCAAGGTACTTGGAGCAGGCAATAGGCAATTGACTGGCGGATGAAGAAACTCAGAAAGGAATACTTTTGCCAGAACTCTCAAAGACCCTCTCTTTGCTCCCAGTGACTCAATCACTACCAGAGAAACTGTCTTCCACCAGAGGAGCTGGAGATATTTAAAAAGAGTGAGGCAGAGAGAAAAAGGGAAAAATTGGTTTACAAGGGATGGCAAACAATGGAGACCAGAAGCTCTGGCCATACAAATATTATAACAACTTCATGAAGGGAATCATTAGAGTTCTCGAGGATTTGCAGAAGCCTTCCTCAATATGTATTTTGCTATGGATCTTTTTAGTCTGGCAAAAGCAGTTGCTGAAGTTAGCTTGATTTGTGCGGAAGCCAGTGACAGGGTTACCAAGAAAGCTGCCAGGGGAGGGAGGCCTCGGGCTGTATGCCCCTTCTAAAAATGCCATGTGGATTTTACCAAGATGTCCCAAGTGGGAAGGCTTAAATATCTTCTGATAATAGTATTATCAGCTAACAAGGTGGCCAGAAGCATTCCCAACTCCTTCTGCAGCTACAACGTCACATCATTATGGTATTTTTGGAACAAATTATTCCAAGGTACAGGATTGTAGAAGCAACAGACTCAGGGGAGCTAATTTTATAGGAAAGTTCCTTCAAGGGGTTATGGCTACTTCAGGAAAACAATGGATCTTCCATATTCCCTGGCACAGAGCTTGTGTCAGGTAGAAAAAAAAATGAAGAGCGAAATTAAGAAACACCTTTTGAAGCTGGCAATAGGCACCAAGATGCCATGGGTAGGGCTTTTTCCATTGGCTTTGGCAAGAATGAAGGCCAGACCCAGAAGAGAGAATCAGTTCTCTTCCTTTGAATTACTGTTTGGAATTCCTCACCCAGGTAATTCTCAACCTATCGGGATGTAGAGGTAAGTGATGTATATTTAAAAGAACATGTGGCCAGGATACCGTCTCTCGTGAAATCCCTTCAACCGGAAGCTCAGCTGGTATAGTCCCTGCCTTTGGACTTTGTCTGTTCATAATATCCAACCAGGGGATTTAGTCCTGCTTAAGGAGTGGAAACATGCACCAATGGTGCCAAAGTGGCATGGAACTTTCCAAGTGTTACTGACTACAGAAACAGCCATCAAGACAGCTGAATCCATCACACTCTAAGATCAAGGTCTCTAAGGCCCCAGAGATTTGGATATCTCATCTGGAAAAGAAGGACAGCAGGCTCTAACTGACAGACCACTCCACAGGAGTGGTCTGGAGCAGCAGCCAGTGCATTGACACCAGGACAAGCCACACGTACCTATCCACAGACTGTCTGCTGAAATAATCTGGATGGGTATCCCTCTTTTAGAATCTCCACTCACTGGGGGGCTACTACTTGTTGTCATTGTTTTCTTTATCTTAGGTGGTTTCTGGCCACAGGTGGTGCAGAAGATGAGATATTGCAAACTCAAACTACATTTACTCGTCAAAGAGTAATTATGACTGAGTTCTTTGTATGAGGCACTGCAGTGCTGGAATTCATATGAAGAAGATGAAAAACCACAAGCAGCATCAGCTTTACTCAGTAACTGGCAATAGCCATGGTCGGTTGAAGACTGAACCAGCAGCCTCTCCAGCAGTGCAGAGGGGTTGGGCTGACTGGGGACAGGGACCAGCCCACCTGCTGCCAAGAAACTGTTGGAGACAGGGCATGATCCCATGTAACTCACAAACAACCCTGGCATTTCCAGACTGCAGATGAATCAGATACAAGGTAGGGGTTAACAGCAAACAGACTGAGTAATAGGTACGTACAATTTATTTAAAATACTTTTTAACATATAAAATTCCCTCACTATTTATACAGTCTAAGTCCTAGCAACATATACAGATACTGAGCAACTACAATACATGCTGAGGTAAGAACATACATTCTGGGAGAATATTCAAGCCAAACAAGATTGAAATACATTTTATATACATGTCTTCACATGTAAGAGAGATCCATGAAATGTACCTTTCCTTTATTGTACACAGGGAAATTCTAGTCTTTGTGTGCCACGCAATTTAAACCCAACTGTTACATGTTCAAATGTATCTTGCCCCTAGCAGAAAACATGTCCAAAGTCTGAAGTAGGAGCAAAACCTAGGACCAAATTCCTTCCAAAAAGGGGCTTGCATTTTAAAAACATCCATTTCTTTAACAGCTTATGCTCCTCAGAGAATGAAATTGCATTATGTTTGCTTAAAAAATAACTAACTGCAGAGAAACAGCATAATTCTTACAACACCTTAGCCTTCAGCTATCCACAGTTCTACCATTCCTGGTCTGCAGTAAAAATCAAATCCAGGTGTGTTATTTATACTGACTTGGACACATCCATTTATTTTTATGATAGATTAATTTTTCTAAGCCTAAACTGGTACAGGTTGAGAATGGAAAAGATTCTTAACTTGGCTGTAACTGTACTGTCACATCTTAGTGGAAAGTAAGAACTTCCCACCCCTTGAAATAAAACCAGCTCAGATAATTTCAGTCATAGTTGCTGCTAATAGCTAGGAACAGTTACTTACCTGTTTAAGCAAAACTACAAAGATTGCAGACTAGTTTCGTCAGCCAGAAAAAGTTGCAGTAACAAAAAAGTACAACCATAGGCAGGAATTTGCTGTTCACAAATGGGTCTTATTTACCATCCTTACATTCACATTTAGGCTTAAGACACGGAGCTCTAAAACAAATAACTAAAAAATGTCATTCTCAATTAATGAGAATGAATGATCAGAAATTCTACAACTGGGCTTCAAGGTAGCACAGAGAACGTTCAGCATCTTTGTTGGTGACGGGGACAGTGGGATTGAGCACACCTTCAGTGAGTTTGCCCACAGCACCAAACTGTGAGGCGCCATCAACATGCTGGAGGGAAGGGATGCCATCCAGAGGGACTGGACAGCCCTGAGAGGTGGCACCTCCTGGAGCTGAAAAAGGTAATGTCCTGCACTTGAGTCAGGGCAACCCCAGGCTCACAGACAGCTTGGGCAGAGAAGTGACTGAGAGGAGCCCTGTAGAGAAGGACGGGGGTGATGGTTGATGAAAAACTCAACATGAGCCAGCAACGTGCTCTCACAGCCCAGAAAGCCAATGGGATCTTGGGCTGCATCAAGAGGAGCATGGACAGAAGGGTGAAGGATTCTCCTCTGCTCAGGTGAGACCTTACCTGGAGTGCTGCACCCAGCTCTGGTGCCCCCAATATAAGGACATGGCACTACTAGAGCAAGTCCAGAGGAGGCCATGAGGTTGGTAAGAGGACGGGACCACCTCCCCTGTGGAGACAGACTGGAAAGGTTGGGGCTGCTCAGCCTGGAGAAAAGGAGATTGTGTTGCAACCTCATTACAACCTTCCAGTACCTGAAGGGACCCATAGGGAAGCTGGAGAGGGACTCCTTGTCACGAACTGCAGTGGCAGGATAAGGGGAAATAAGTACAGACTGAAAGAGGGGAAGTTTCGGTTAGATAAAAGGAAGAAATTCTTTACTGTGAGGATGGTGAGACACTGGAACAGGTTGCTCAGAGAAATTATGCATACCCCCATCCCTGGAAGTGTTCAAGACCAGGTTTAGTGGAGCTCTGATCTAGTGAAAGGTGTCCTTGCCCATGGCAGGGGATTGGAAGTAGATGATCTTTAAGGTCTCCAACCCCAGCCATTCTATGATTCCACATAAGATCATATTTTAGATGCTGAACAGGCCACAAGTGATTTTTGACTCCAGAGTTTATATACAGCCCCTCTACAAACAGATTTTCAGGGGTAAGTGAGGATACTTTACTGGTGATAAGGCATGGTGGCAGCCCCTTGAACAGCACTGCAGGTTCCTTTCAGACGTCGTCCACAGCATTTAAGGACCTGGACAGTAAACAACACTTTGAATTTCATCACAAACAAACAGTAACACCTGAAGTCCATAAAACTGGGCTACTGTGTAGGGAGGGGGTCCACATGTATGAGTTGATTCAGCATCCTTCCAATAGTGCTGTTAGAATACAAATAGAGCATTTTCACAGTGGAGTTTTCTCCTACTTAGGTGAGAAAGCTGTGGGGTTTTTTCCTAACAAGATAAAAAATGGCAAATATGTCATTCAGACTGTTTTCATTTTGTGATAACCTAGCTAAAATGAGTCTACATTACCCCAGTAAATGACTGAATAGGATATTTTCATAGTACAGAACACTGGAACAGTCAAAGGATACAAATTTCAATAATTAAGTTTGAAATGGACTCTTTGGAATAGTACTCATTCATTTGCAAAAGTTTTGGAATCTTTTATGCTTCTAATAAGAACAATCATAAAAAAAGCCCTAAGGCTAAATTTCGCAGCTGTGCTAAAACATACCATACATGCTAAATGCATGTCTAACACAAACTGTGCACCATTAGAATATTTGTGTGCTTCCTTAAGCACTCACAAAAGTATGTACAGATCTTTTTTGTATAAGCTCACATCTGGACACAGAATAATGGATACTCTGGGGGAGGGGAAGGCAGGGCAGGGTCTTTCTCAATCCAAGTCACCTCCAAGATCTGAATGCTTCTTGCACAGAGCATTAGGGAAGTCTGACTTGGAGGCAGATGATATTCAAGTGGCCCTCACAAGCGTAGGGAACAATGTAAAAGCATTTCCCAGGTAGTTTGCTTTGTCAGTCTGTGCCTCCTGGTTGCCTAGGAAAAAATATGACTGAGTGGCTTAAGGTGAAGAGGCAGAAAAGAGATTATACAAGACAGCAGCTTCTAGTTTTGGAAGGCTAACCTAACCAAAAAGGCAGGAACCTTCTGAGGAACACACAGCTAGCTGAAAATTGACAATTCTGTTAACAAAAGCTGAAATAATGTAATTCAGAATCAAAACTATTTTATGCCACGGAAGCTAAAGGGATTTTTGCCATCAGTTCTGATAGCAGCTTGTCAAGTCCAAAGTTGTGCAGACATTTTACAATGAAAAGAGGAATTTTAGAAGCTGTAGTGCTTCCACAGAAATTAAGAGCTTTGGGTATTGAGGTGGGCTCCACCCCACCAAAAAATAGTACCATTGGGAAGAAATAACTGGCTTTTGTACTTAAATTGTTTCTCCTAATTTATCACATCTATGAATTACTGGAGCTAATCATGAAGAGTTCTTCTCTCATGTCTGACAGACAATTGTACAAAATTGTCTGTAGTAATAAAAAAGTCCACAGTTTTGCAGGAGACAAGCTGTTAATTGTCCATACAGCTTAAGGAAAAGCAGAATTAGAGTTTTCCCAGACCTCGCATATCAAGTCTTTTGGTTCAATGTTGTATTATTTAAGACTAACAATACCAAAACAATGGAATTAAAAAATTGAAGCTGTAAGCTTTATGGAACTGGCTTTTAGAAACAAGCCATCATTCCACCCTACTAACTTTGTTCATCCTTACTCACAGTGGGATGGGCCATGCTCTGTGGCACCTGGTACACAAGCTGGTCGGCACTGCCAGGCCCTGGCTGCCCCTTTGGTATATCGTACAGTGCCTGTGCTGAGGATGCACTGTCTGTCCTGAATAACAGTTTATTGCACATTCCAACCAGTGGAGGATTTCCAGCAGCTTTGAAGGTGGAAACGGAAGGAGCGCCAAGAGGGGTGCTGGGATGGCTGGACACGTCCATGATTATTGGAGTTGCATACTCAGGTCCGGTTACAGGCAGTGGCTTGGCATAGGTGTGGTAAACTTCTTGGATGGGGGAATTGTAAGGGTCCAAGTCAGCATAACTGGCTTCTTTTCCTTCCTCTGGTTTGAAGGTTGATCTCTGGTGAAGTGTGCCCACAATTCTCCCTACCAGAGGCTGAGCATATTCTGTGTTGCAAGCCCCAACAAAACAAAAAATAAATGCACTTACTGGGGTTGTTTTATAGTGGCATCACATTAAATATAGCCTGTCAATAGTCTGCCAGAGATCACTATCCGACATCAAACCAGTGGTCCATCTCTGTCCACCAGTGCCAATTGCTTTGGAAAAGGATTCCTTTCCACCCAACAGGTAAAGTCATTGAGATAGCCAAAACCAAAACATCCCCACTTCTCAGATTTATACTTCTTCCCAAGTGAGCTGCAACTTCCCATGCTGCAAATCTGCCTGAAAATGAAGCGGACTGAAGTGTTCTTCTATTTACATTAGGTTTAAATAAAATTGTTCTGTCTAGGTCTCGATAAGAAGTGGTCCTTGGGGTGGAGTGTTTGTCCTTTGAGGGGAAACCTGCATGTAGTCTGAGATATTTTAGCTCAACAGATAATCTGAGCTACAAAAGCTGGAGGTGAAAAGCCTGAGTAGCTGGGGTAAAACAGACAAGCAGCAAAACAAGAAAGCTAATTCTGCCTGCAGTGAAGCTGTAATTCTTGCACATCTGCCAAATTCTGCCATCAGCAGGTAAGTGCAGAACCAAAGGCACATTCAGTCATCCTCCTCCCATGACTAGCTCACCAGGGAAAGGGTATTTGGAGCTATCCATAAACTCTCCTTTTCCAGATCCCAAGTGTGATTTAACCCATAGAGTAAAGATAGAGAATCAAGTGCCATATTTCAAATTTGTGCATAAAAATATTGTGACAAAATTATTTCCAGTGCATGAAAATAAAACCAAAAGAATTCTTTCACCCTTTATGAGGTTTAAAAACAAGTAAGGAACCTTTCAGCTACTGCATTAACTTGGGCAAGTGGCTATCTATAGCACATGAAATGAGAGAGCAGACACAAAAAAGCCTGCATTTTAAGAGATATGCTTATCCACAGAATGACTTATGTCTCCTCTGTCCCCCTCCAAAACCAGGAAATAACTAAATGTAGCCAGATTCGTGACATTTTTGGTATGTCATTCATATACATACGTACATATGTATATATATATATGTATATATATATAAACATGGCCCACAAAGTACCTGTAGACTCTGTTTGCAACATTGTTGGGACTTCTCTTGGTCTTAGGTGACTGATTTCACTGCTGCTGTAGCATACAGGAGTTTCTTCATGTTCTGCTGATTTGATCGGGAAAAACTGCTTCACCCCTTTCCACCATCCTTCACATGAATTTAAAAAAGCAAAAAAAACCCACACAAGATTGCATATACACTGTATTTTAAGCTACTAAAATACTTTTCACAAAGTTGTATTTTGCTGAAATAGGTAAATAACTCAATTATCACGATTTTAAGTAATATCCTAAGACATCAGAGCTGTGAGCTATCAGAAACAGATACGTAGCAAATGAAAGAGATTAAAAGGTTCCTTGTCTAAAGCGTAAGACATACTTAAGACTGCCAGTGAGCAGACACACAGGTGTGCAAGTTTTCAACAGAGGCTGGAGAAGCAAAGCACAGTCACACAGAAGTACCAACCCAACAGCCACAGCTGCCCTTTGCACCTGGGGCACAGGTGGTTTCAGGACCATTGCAAAGAGCTGCCTGGTGCAATTGTCTGATCTTAAGTTGATGAGGCACAAGACAGTTGGCTAGAAGATGTACCTAAATCCCATGTGCTTACTAGGGCAATGAAAACAACATTTTTGACCCAACTTATACGCTAAGATGAAAGATTTTTTCCAGGAGAAAAAAGTACCAAATAAATGGTTATCAAATGTATAGAGACATTCCTTATAAATTAATTTTTCTCCTTGTGTTGCATAATTAAAAGGTTTTCTACTTTGTTCACAAAAAACGCTGAAGTGGTGAGATCTAACAGGAGACATGACATTTACTATTTTTTAAAAAAAAAGAAATCAGAGAAAGAAGCAGTACAATTTAGTTGGTCCACAAAAGAAATTCAGTTTGTTATGCCTCCCTCAGATAGCATTAGAGTTTCTGTAACTGCAATCTGAAATAAACATCAAACAAAAAACCACTGAACAAATGGCTTCATAAAACCATCTTGTTACCTGCGCGATTCCAGTAAGGTAGATCATATGTGTCCTCAGTTTTTTTCTTGCTGTGAGAAAAAAAAAAGCAAAAAAGTGTTATTTTAACTAGTCTGCTTATCAAAAGATGCAATAAGTAATGCTCAGCAACTATCACCTTGGCTGTAACTGGGCCTTAAAATTTAATGTATTAGCACCAGTAACCTGGCTTCCCGTCACCAGTCTGCTGCTACCCGAGAAATCAGTTTTCAGTCAAAGCATTTCCAATGAAAAAAGTTACAAAAAGCTGTTTTGTCCTCGCTAGTCAAGTGATTTTTTTCTCAGAAAGAATGCAATTCTTTCTACAAGTGCAGACCACAGAGTTCCCACAGCAATACATGCAGCATTTCATTCCCACACACCAGGCTAACAGACTTTTAAAGCACTTTCATCCATCTATTAATTTACCGGTTTCTCCAATGCCACGCACAAACTAAGATAAGAATCAGGGTAGTGAAGACCATCACCAGCACTGGAACCAGAACTGCTGCAAATGCCACATCTGAAAGCCATTAAATTAAGTGGTGTCAGACAGAAAGAGCTTCTCATAAATCAGTTTTTGATTTGAAAATTACTTGAGTAGAGCACACAGTTTTAACGTTTAGTGTCCATCACACCAGATCCCCCAGCTAAGCTACTCTGCTGGATGCTCCCACAGCGCAACTTCAATTAACATCTGGCTCTTCTACATGCATGCAAAGCTGGTGGCTTTGCAGGGTTTTTCATCAAAATCAGTTTGTTTTAATATATGGTTTTTCTGTTACAATAATGTATTCTATTATTTATGCAGAAAATCCCTTAATGTCACCATATAAGTTCAAACTTCCTTTAAGAAGTAAATTCTACAGTACCTTAACAGTTAATCCCAATCAGTCAGTGCTGGATCTGTGTGTGATCCTGTCCCCTACCATCCAAAGGACACTTCAGCAGTGCCCACATCTGCAGTGACTTTGCTCCCTTTTCTGACCATTTTCTTTGATAAACAAAATGATTATGCCAGGTGACATTTTTCAAATTTCATGTCAAAAAAATTGCTCCAGAGAAGATTTGCTATATCAAAGGTATTTTGTTCTAAGAAATTAGAACAGCTACACCTGATTAATTCAGAAGGGAAGTCCAAGTTACAACTTTTCCTTCTGACAAAGTTTGTTCAGTGATAAAAAGCTGAACACTGCTTGAACAAGCTCTGGAAGATGGAACTATTATATATCTATAAAATATATATTTTATATACATTTATATTATATATATATTACTTGGCAGATTGGTTTTGTTTCCTCATGCAGCATACAACTGCACATCTTTTATCATTTGTGTATTTAATAACTGGTAAATACTAGAAATAAAATATTGACAACCTGCTGTAATTTCTTGTTTTGAGAAAATTTCAATGCAGAAAGCACATTTGGTATACGTCAAAGCACTATAAGGAGCTCCAAACATTTTCACCGTTTAACACTGGATACCTTTGGTTACACTTGGAGTCACTGTAGTGTTCTTTATTTCTGGTGTGAAAGTTGTTTTATCTGTCTGCAGCGAAGTCTTCACTGAATGAATGAAGTCATCCATGAAGTCAGCATTCTTATCATTCTTGTTCTGAGGTGGCGCTGGCAAAGTGATTTTAGGAGCACGACCTTCAGAAGAAAAGGATTTATAAGGCAAGTTCTTTGAGTGCTAGTTTTCCATATCTCATTTTCAGGAGAAGACAGCTGGAACAGTTTGCTAGAAAGCTTTTGTTCATGTCATATAACGAGGAAACCCCCTACCAGGAATCAATGACATGAAAAGCAAGTGATTGGCATCTTATGACACACTTATTTTGTAAATTACCTTGTGTACACCTAAATTCAGTATTTTTCTGGTTAAGGTAACTTTTGGATAACCTTTAAATACCAATGAAAGAAGGATTACACAGCCAAGAAGTACTTATCAAAAATATACCCATGATGTAACTTTTAATCTTAGTAATTTCATGTACAACCTTAATAGTTTCACTTCTTGTCTTGCACAGTTGAAAGTTTTCAGTTGTCTTACCTATACTAAACTGACATCCTAGCAATTCTACTTTCATTGCAATTTTCTGGTGCCATTTTAAGGGGTTAATCCTAAAAAAACGTGCAATTATAGGTGGAATGAAATTATTGCGAACTTCCTGGTACAATTCAGTATTCCCTTGAAATATCTAGAAAAGAAGGAGAAAAAAAGAGAGATACATTACGTTCTACAAATACAATAGTAATTGAGTAAGTACTACCAATTTTGATGTTTTATTGAGGAAGAATAAACAGTGAAGGATTCAATTCACCCCAGAACAGCACTACTGCCTGCCCCATTATGTTTACAACTAAATAAAACAAAGAAAGGTGTATATACACACAGCTACACAGTTCAGAGTAAAGGTACCATGGAATATCCTACTGATGCTCCCCAGGCACAGCCTGCTGTTACACACGTTTATGGCACTGAGTCATTCTAACTCCCTCTTGGTATTTTACGCTTAGTCTTCAAATATACATGGATAGCAAAGACTTGTGACACTGCAAGTTGGAATTAAATGGTGCCTTCACACAGGCCAGCAGTTCAGCACAGCCTGAGGATGGTATTCCTTAGAAAGCACTGGGGGGCACCCTCAAGTGTGGAACCATACTGTCCTCCCGTGGCTGTTGCCTGCAAGTGCTGAGCCACAACAAAACTGAAGAATTGGGTTCAGAATGTGAAAGCTCTCCTCAGTCTCAAACCATGAGGTTCTGCAAGAGAAGAGCACAGACTTTGTGTGAAGGATGAGCTCAAGCTGGTCCTTCACTGCTATCCTTGCACACAAAGAACTCATCAAAATGTGACAACACAAAATGAGTCTGGCTGAAGTTTAAATGCAGCGGAGTTCCCTGTGAGATGCAGTGTAAGCACACTGACAGATTTACAGCCAACTGCGGGTTTGCCACTCCTGAGCTGCTTAAAACAATACAGCAGCTTGGCCCAGTACTCCAACCCTCCCCCTACTTCCGGAAGACTGGTTTGGCACCATGTCTTTTGGTAGGAAGTGAGCTGCCTCTCCATGTTCATGCACAGCAGCGAGGCTTTGGTCCTGCACATGCAGCTCTGTGATGCTGTTGCAACACAGGTCACCACTGGGATGACAGTGAACAAGTTATTTCATTTGAAGCACTGATATAGACACTGCAAATCATGGTGGACACAATGCAAAACACAATTATGGCACTTGCCTGAAAAAAGTCAGTATTACAAGGAGTTTTCTTCTCACTCACACAGCTTGGTAAGGAATAAAGCACCATGCCATTCTTAAAGACAAGCACTGCATTGTGCAATAGATTATGTGTCTGCATAACATGGAGCAGTCGAGAGCTTTTAGCACATCTCTGTTATCACTGCTGTTTCAATCTTGATACATGAGAGAAGACATTTTTGTATTGCACTGCTGAGTTTTTGAAAAAAATGACTAGAATACCCCAAGAGGCGTGAAATAATTATTCCAGGAAACTATCCATTCAGAACAAGTGCCTGCTCTGAATTTAAGCTTCCTGTTCTTAAATATATTCAGTAGCAACAAATGAAGACACAGTAAATGCAGGGACAAGCCTATGATGCTATTTTGGAAATAAATAACACCAAGTAGTTGAAGTTCATGTGCCCACAGCAGACTGGGTTCTAATTTGCAGCCACTTCTCCCTTACTAGTTTGTTTTGGTTTGGTTTTTTGATTATTTTTTTTTTCAATGACAGGCTTGTAGCATCCTTATCAAAACAATTTTCTTGTTTTGGTAAGGATGCAAGTGAGAAGCAAAATAAGGGAGGTGACTTCCTGAGGGGATGCACCCAGACTGAATTGCTGTACTGTATCCTTGCTCGTGCTATGCCTGCCAGCACCAAAAGAAGGCACATCTGGCTGCCCAAGCAATATATGCAGATGTTACAGAGCAGGGACACAACTCTGAAAGCTGAATCTCATGTCAGGTTTCTGAGGCTGAGCATGTAACCGCAACGGCAAAAAGAATCAACAGCAACTCTTACCTTCAAGAAAGATTAACAGTAAAGATCTTTACTCCAGGCTTTATCAGTCAAGCTTTTGACATCCAGTGTTACAGAAGTAACTTAACCATACCTGCAGCTCTGAATTTTTTGTTACCCTAACTTTTGCATTAAAAAATAATTTGCTTCTGAGCTCAATACAGCACTTTTTAATGAGAAATCACTTTCATAGTCTTTTTATTATGAAACTCTTTCCACTTCTCTCTGTGCTGTTAAACAAAGCTTTTCCAATACTGCAACTCTCATTTGTCCTTCTTCTCCAATGCAAGCATTTACTCTTTTTTTAATCCATGAAAAATTAAGAAGAATTTTTCTCGAGTACTGCCAAATCTCTAAAAGGTATTTGCAAAAAAAGACTACAGGAAAGGCTTGGAAAAGCTTCTAGTCTCCTGAAAAATGTTAGGAATTCCAAACATGTTTCAAAAAAACAGGGACTAGCACCTCCCAGGTAGTCTGGCAAGCTAAAAGGGAGAACCCTGCAAGCAGATGCATTCAAAAGTAAATCTGTATCAAGCGAGGTGATGGCAGAGAGAAAATCTGCTATCTTGAAAGAGAAAAAACTCATTACATTTATTCTAACCATAAGAGGATAAGAAAGTAAAGCTTAATTTTAAAACATATAACCTATTTTAAAAGAAATAGAATTATTCTTGAAGAGATGCAGTACCAGAAAACCTACCAGTGGCAACAGAAGTTTCTTGTATAGAATGTTCCCACCCCAAATACTAATAAAAATTACATCTGAATTTTAGAACTGTTCAAAATCCTTACATATTTGCATATTGTCATGTTTTCCTCTGCTTATCTGCTCTTTATGATTCAAAATAACACTGAAAGTTATTTAATGATTCCTCACCATACCGAAATTGACTTATATTTACAATTGTGAAATCTCCTTAGAACATACCTAGAAAGTATATGGTATTTTTACCTTATCTTTACCCATGCCAGGTTCTCTGTATGCTGTCCATTTCTGTGCATCATCACTATATAAAATTCTGTAGGCTGAGACATAATAGAAGTGCTCTGCTAAAGTTGATCCAGTAGTTATAATACCTGTGAAAATTGAGGCACCCAGTAAGGACAAAAAACAGGTGCCACTTCGTAAAAATTAACAGATTGGTTTTTGAATCCAGAGCTGTATAATGCAGAGTCTTAACTGGTCCAGTTAACTTCAAGAAGTTTATCCAAAGGGCCAGGGTGTGAAGCTTCCACAGTGACTGAAACTTAGTCAACTCATTTTATTTACTTTGTATTTTAATTTTCATGGTATAACCTTGCTAAGCCCTTCCCCCCACACCCCACTTCTTGATGGAAACAGCCCCTTCATTTGATCACAGCTCACTCCTGTCTCCAGCTGCTGACACAGCTTTTCCCTGCTCTTGTACTGCCAACCTAAAGGCAACATTGAAAAAACTGCAGCTTGCTACAACTGACACTGCAGCTCTGCAGCACAACTCACACAGTAAAGCTTTTTTGGAAAGGCTTGTTAGCACAAGAATTAGAGGAGTAATGCAAAATCCAAAGAGTCTCCAGGGAGGAAATAACAAAGGCCACTGGTAAATCCAAGATGCTTAATGATAGCAAGCCACGCTGCTGATAGCAAAGTATGCAGCTGAGGTTACAGAGACCAACTCAGGCATTTTGGAAAGAGACAAACACAAACTGATCAGTGGAACATGTTTCACAATAGCCTTAAAGCCCTGGACTCTATGAAGCACTCAACCTAAATCCAATTTATTTTGATTTACATCAGATGACAAACATGCCCATTAACAACAGCAAATCACTGAAAGATTAAACCAGAAAACAGTAACACTGGCACTGCAGGTACAACTGCTGCACAGCTACCCTGGAGATTAAACCCAAAATGCCAATACCTCAGTGTTGATATTGGATTCACTGTGGTCATGACAGGCACTAGGGAAAATCTAAGAAACAAGTCACTACACCTGCATCAGAGGTACCAGTGGGCTAAGCTGACTGGATTTTGATCAGCATCTCCAAGGAGTCAATGAGCAGGAAAAGGGAAGAATCAAGAATCCAATAAAATCACAGGAAACACTTCAACAAATTCTGAGGGAAGAAATGTCTATGAAACTACATCTCTTCAGCTCCAGGCTCCTCAGTGTGTTAGCTAGGACATGGAAGCAAATTAAGTGTAATGGTAATTAAGTGACACCTGAGCTTTATCTAAGGCCCAACACAGGAAAAAAGGATATCAGTAACCAAAAATTTTGAATGCTGCTGAGAAGTCACATCAGATTCACTTACCTGTTATTTTCTTTTCTTTATTCAAGTCAATCTGCAACCACTGATGTTCATCACTGATAAAAGCAGCCCAAGGAGGTCCAATCCTTTTTAGTCTGGCATTTTCAGGTTTCCAAATGTTTACTTGTCCTGTTTGGTTAGGCCACTCGAGAATTGATGATGATGTGATATGGGAATCAGGAATCACCCCAGACTCCATCCCCAGTGTCCCATAGCAACCTGAGCAACAGAAAAGGTGAGGATTGCCAATGAGAACTGAAGTTATGCTGCTTGGATTTCAAGACTTTATATGCAAATATTAACAGCCATCTAAATTTATTCCATAACAACAATACCAACAAAACACACTGTCTTTTGCTTTCTAACAGGGATACTAGAACTAAACCAGTCATGAGAATGCCATGATTTGTGCTTGCTCCAAGGGTAATATGGATATTCTCTCAGTCACCTCCCTCAGAGAGAGTCATTCTCTCACTCACACAGAGCACTCAAGGAGAAGCACTGGGGAACCTTCATGGTCTAAGAGTATCTCTGGTTGCTGCAGGAATGGGAAACAGGCTACTGGTTCATTAGTTCCTTTCGTGTGTCTGTAGAACTTCTTGAGTTTTCAAATCAACCCCAGCATCACAGTGTTAATTTGAACAAAACCAAAGCATGTAGGAAGTCACCTCATAATCCTGGCTTTGAGCTCAAACACATCCTTGAAATTAGTTACATTTTTCTGGTTACCATTCTTATTAAATGTTTCTTCCCATGTTGCCCTCTGCGGGTAGCTGAAAAACATTTCCTAAATTCAGGGCTAGATTTCTTGTTCTTGTAATACTATCTCTCTCCCATGCAGAGTCCCAGAAGTATCGGCAGAGAGCAATCTGTACCTTCAGTCAGGCAGGCTGAACAACCCAGGCTAGTTTCCCTTCTCCTGTGAACTTCCCCTCTCTACCAAGGGGGGCACTCATCCTTTAAGGAAGGCACAGGTGGCAGAGCCCAAATGTGACTGAACACCAGAGAAAGTCTTGCCCATGTCCTGAGAGATGGCATTAGTAGTTTACTGTCTCTGCTGAATGTATGTCACCTGCCACAGCACAGGATCACTTCACTAAGGGAGTTCTTTCCCTCATCAGTCATTTTCCATCTAACATGCTGCCACGTGGCAGCAAAAATGCCTCAGTCTCTAAATACCTGCTACATTCCACTCTTTGCTCTGTGATGCTTCAGTTAATTTCTATCGACTCTCAAAGTCAGGCAGTTTTTCCTGTATAAGCAGACTCATCTTCCTCTGCACTGACCATGCCTCTAGCCTTAATAACACACTCCTCTACTTCATACCAAGTCATAAAACCAACTGCAACAGCAGGAACCCACTAAGACCTTCACCAGAGTCTGATAAACCTCACTTGAGCATACTACAGGGTTTCTTTTCCCCTCACCTAACTCCTAGACAACCCAACTACAGACATTTTAATCTAGAGCTGCATCTTGCCTCTAGCTTATTCAATAATTTCTCACGTGTCACTGAAGTTCAGAAAGTCTAGATCAGCATTTTTTCCTCTCTCTTCCAATTTCCAGGCCATTTAATTACTTTCATACACACTATCAGATCACATTGTGAAAGACAAAAAAACCCAGCAACCCCTGCCTGGATCACTGTGTTTAATATTCTTTATGCATAAGGACACTAGACCTGTAATTCCTTCTCTCAGCTCTTGCAGATACCTGAGAGAGAAATAATTTTAAATTTTTTATTAATTATTAATATGTGCACTGTATTTTCTAACTTTTGTTTATTTATACACTTCCATCACCAAACACTCCTTCCCATCAGATTCCTGTCTTTATATCCTCCTTCACTGTGCCTCTGATTTATGTATTAGGAAAAGCATTTATTTATTTTGAGAAGTAGGTGCATGATTCCCCCTCCCTTTCTTTTTTTATCTTTATGAAAACCAGATGTGATGGTTTTATGGTTTTTAAATTGTTATTAAAACAGTTAAAGAGACTAAAGAAAGGCCACTGTCTTCACAGTATTTCCAACATCCACTCAAAGATGGCATTTAAAGTGACTTACAGAAAAACTAGCTTGCACTAAGAAAACTACAGCTAATTTATTTAATTAGACTGAAAGAATCTCTTTCTATACATAAGCAAGGCTTACTTGAAACACTGCTGTACCTATAAATTAGTGATGATTAATCATCAAGTTGAGATAGTAAAACAATACAAAAATAGACATAATTTTTTTTTATTGAAGAATACAGTAAGGAAAGGTCTCACAAATGAGAACAAAAATTAAGAAATCAAATATCTGCACACCCACTTCTATCCACAAACTTTGTATGAAAGTAGTAACAAGTAACACGTGATACCGCTTACCACTTGTCTTAAAGGTGAAGAGACTTGTAGACAAGGGTCCCCTGCAGAGAAGAAAAGATGATGTTTTGCAGTACCCAGTGAGAAAAACTGAATCAAACTGTCTTCAATTTATTTTTCTTGTCTGACTGTTTGCCACTGAAATGTATACTACATGTACCTGAACAAGCACTTAATGATTAACACATCCTGCCAGCAAGTTGCAGCACTTTCAGTACAAACACCTTCTCTAATGAAATCAATCCAGAGATACTGAGTTAAATACTTTCAAACAAACATCTACCCAGCAAAATGCAAGACTTCATTAAAATGCTTTCTTTTCAAATTAAGCTAATCATAGTAACACAAATCAATCTCCTGTGATTGCTTTCATTTGTGGGTCTTGAGATACAATGACAAGCCACAGTCTTTTCCTAAAAATCAAAAGCTGCAATTAAATTACTGTTTTCCTGCAAACCAGTAGGAATTTATAGCCAAGAAGGTAAAAACTCCTTGCAGAATTCGGAAAATGAAAATTCCTGGTCTAGAGATTAAACAATTGGTAAAACAATTTGGTAAAACAATTACACTACAGCAAAAGTCTGAGAAACTTAAAGAGAACCTGTCCAGGGAACATATAGCTCCACGAGCTGAAATTAATCCCACAATGAGACACTACCAAGACCTAAGGCGCTAAAGATAAGGAAATACACTTACGCTTTTGAGGTGACATTGTTAGCCAAGGAGCCTTCATAGTATGGAATGCCCTTGCTGATTACAACATTAATTTGACCACCCAGAGTATTTGACACGACACCTGCGTGAACACCGGCCATACAAAGTGACGACGACTTGAAGAAGGAAGGGAAAGAAAAATTTCATACTACTAAGTGAATAAATTAAACACCACACCATATATTGTAAATGCTACACTGTCCAGCTACAGCTTTTGTTATTATTACATTAAAATACTATTCTTAGTTAAGTGTTATCTTGGTTATTTAGAAAGCACTCATCTTTATTACTGATTTTATAAAAACACAAGAAGAAGGCCCTACATTTCACTGTGTCCTCACCCAGCTGCATTTAGAATGTAACTGTTGTAATTAAATGACCTCAAACCAACACCAAGGTGAATCACTCTGAAAAAGCCAGACAGCCAGGCTCAGCCTATAATAAATTATATTTGACAACAAAACATGTAAACACATAGAAAAAATTTTAATAGAACATTGAGAGTATGTTTGTTTACTTTCTCACAATTAAGGGGTGAGACACTGCAGATTTTGCAGCTTTCAGCCAAGGGGTTTTTAATTATATCTTGCGGTTAAACATGGTTTAACCATCCAGCACTGATCCATGTAAAGCCACAGTAATACATGCATACAACTCATCCTAAACAAGTCAATTACCTATGTTGTACAAGTCAGTGGAGACAAGTAATAAAAAATGTTTTTGCAGGGTGATGTGGGTTGACAGGGAAATGAGTTCTTGACAGGGAGGTTGTGGCTAAACCAATCAGTGGTAAGATTTGAATATTGGCACCTGGTGTGGCCATTGAAGACATGACTGCCTCTGAGAAAACAGGGGTTAAAGCAGAGCACTCCCAGGGGAACTTTCTCTTCTTGGTTCCAGTGGTGAAGTAGTTTCACCTCCCCTCCCCACTAGCCGGGTGGGGGTGGGGGAAGCCATGCACCCTGGCTGAGGGGTGGTGATGAACTGAGAGTTGATTATCTGAGGGGTGGCAACTGGATTGAGAATATAAAGTTTTATCTCACTGTGCTGTGGTGGAAACTGGGGGGAGGAGGAGCAATGTTTTGGGAAGGTTTTTATTCTGAGTTCTGTGTGTTCCTTTTTACATATTGTAAGTTAATAAAGTTTTTTCCTTTATTCCTAAGCTGGAGCCTGCTTTGATCTACTGCTGGTCACATCTCACAGCAGCCACTGGGGAGAATATATTTTAATGGGGGCACTGGTGTTGCACCAGTGTCAAACCAAGACATAGGGTATCATGTTCTTGCCTTTTTTCCTTGGATGACAGAATCTACTAACAAACGTCATAGTGACACTTCCCTGGCTTGCAGGCTACAGGTGCCACAGTGAGCAGCACTTATCACACTAAGTCCGTCAGGCTTGCCCAGAGTAAGCTCACATCCAAGAGGTCTAGGATCAACATAGCTCCCCTCTCCATTAAAGTAAGAGCATGGGATTTAGTAGGAGATGCAGCTCTCTCCTCCCTGCTCACCAGATGTCAGCAGTGAGAGCTCCAAGCCCTTAAAGATTCCGAACATTAGGGTCACACAGCAAGGAATCAAGATTTTGTGTATTTTTTAAAGCAGCAAACAGTTCCCATACATTTGAAAGAGATGCATAAGAAACCTCAACCTGAAACTTGGTCTAAAGTGCTGGAAAATTTCATTTTTTTCCACACAGCCTGAATTTTCCTGAAAAGGGAAATTCACAGCCTTTTTTCATTGATAAAGTACACAAAAATAAAGTCATAGGGCATTTCTTTCCTTAAGTTTCCTTATGAAAAGGTTTCGTTTTCCTCCACAGAAAACAATTATTCCAGATTTTGTAAAAAAAGTCCCAACAAGCAGAACTCCTGCAGATACTGCAAATTTGTGAGGCAAAGAATCAATTTAATATTGTTATTTGCTACAAAAATTACCTTGCAGCCACTTAGTGAGGACTCACTGGGGACCAGAACATATAACACAGTTACACTGTGGTGACATTTTTACATGGGGGTGATTAAGCAAGTAGCCTGGGATTTACAACTATTTGGGGAAGAAAAGAAACAGGCACATTTTAAGTTTGTATTTAATACTAAAATCTTTGGTTACTAACATTTTTACATTGTCTAACCTCTGTGCTACATCTAAGGGCTTATTAAAAGAGTATTTTAAAATAAAAACCAAGGATTTAATGTAATTTTTAGTAGGCTGCTAGTAAAATTATAATCACTTATAATAAACAAAGCCAACATCCTCCCATCCTATGGCAAGTTCATTAATTGACCGGCAAAGGCTTACATTAGAATAATACTGTACGGGGTTTTGCATTGTTTTAAGCAAACAATACATTATTAAAGATGTTAATTACCAATTTACAGAAATACTCTTACAGTATTGAATTTGTTTTGCAAATTATTTTATAGCTGCTGAGCATAAACAGTATTTCATCTCTAAAGTGTAACAAAAATTAAGATCACCACTAAAACACTACTGAAAGAGGCATTACAGTATCAAAAATAAAATGACATAATTAAAATAACTGGTTCTTTCTTTATAAATCTCAATTTCCCAGCCTAAGAAAACCAACTAAAAGATAACAGGAAGTAGAAAAAACCCAATCTTTTGATTGATCCACCCTTCTCTGCAGGACTTATGAAAGTATTTGAGACTCCACTACACTACTCCACTTCTTGGAGATGGCAACATCTGAAGCACCTGTCATTTAGCACCAGTGCTAAAAAATGAGTACCATGTTATTCACTTTTAGGAGGCACAAATCCCACCATACAGGAAGCACAACCAATGCAAACAACTACAACTGACTTGCATTATCCACCATGTGTTTTATGAAAATTCATTTGAGCCCATGGTATTTTCACTTACATCTCTGTATCCATGAGGAATAGTGCCTGAAATATCAGCAAAAGGAATCACACATCCAGCTGGACAGTACTTACTGAAAGAGAACAAACTATCAAGTCAGGATAGGCATGCACCTACAACTCCCTTACAGTTATAAAAAAGTTGTGGTTTTGATTTACAAGACTCTGCTATTCATGTATCACTATGTAATGATATCTTCTAACTAAAGATCTATCAAATCAGACCAAAAATACTCACAAGTACATAACAGGAGGACAGACGTTTGAAAATGTTTTAAAATAAGTCCCAGCTGAAAGTACAGTTCCAGTCTCAATATGATGAACTAATAAGGCCAGCATTTTATATTATGAATACTATGTGGCTCCTGTAAATTCAAAGTCATATAACTAAAAATATTAAAGAATTTTATTTTATGAACTAGAGGCCTTCATATCTATTTGTTTTGCACCCTTAAATAAAGCATCTAAAAAGTAATGCTATTTAGTAACAGCTTTTGGCAATGCTTAGATCATAAACACTGGCCAAATTACCGCTAGCGCATAAAAAGCACAAGGCAAAACACCAGCACCTCTGGAGGAGGCCTGTGTTCATGTTCTAGGACCATTTCATACTGCACACATGAAAATTATTACATCTTCAAGAGCTAAAAGTAAAGTGGAGCAAACACATCAACATGTTCACCCAACTCAGCAACAACTGAAGCAATGCTGTAGGTTCCATGAAAATAGGGGGATTCAGAGACTTTGTCACACATTGACTAAGGCCACAACCTACAATAACAGCCCTATTCTGGAACCTGGGAAAATGAAGGAGAAATGCAAAGGCTGTACTTTGAAATGTTCCAGGTTGCCACAGCTTAAGTTCTCCAAAAATTAAGCTTTGATACTTCACAGTAGTCTGCAGCTTTAAACAGACTGGCCTTGCATTAGATGGAAACAGGGAAGGAGACAACAGGAAAACGTTCCCCTTCAGAACGTAGAGCATTCCGTGTCTCCACGGAACCTCATTAATGAGCACCAAACTCTGAAATGGTTCTGCAATTTCTAACACGTGTCATCATTAAATGGTGACATTAGGTAACTGTAGGTAACTGTAATACAAATTTCAGTAATTAAGTTGTGTACCTGCTAAAATGTATTTATAAAAGCAATACTCTTTCTGTGAAAATGAGATATTAGCTCCTATGTGTTAGTGCAAATTAACAAGGTTCTACTGTATACTGCATGTAAATAACACAAATGGGAGAGACAGGAGGAGGAAGGAGGAGTGCAAATGTCAAAATTCTTCAGCTCTAACCCCTAATTAGTTTGTGTCTCAAGTTCTCTGGATGGCCAATTTTCAAGCTGCATCAGAATATGTGACAAAGCAAAGTAGAAACACTTAAATTACTTCATTAAAGAGACTGGGAGGAAAAAAGGTAAAAATCAGTCTTACTTGAATTCTGGGTCGGAAAAGTGACTTGCATTGTCTAAACAGGTAATTAAGTCTGGAAAGAAAAAATGTAAGTCAAAAGGGTGAAAAAGACAAAAGGTTGAATATGCTTTTTAAACTGCACGAATACATACATTTGAGCCTCTGAGGCTTAACAAAGTCTCAGAATGAAAAAACACATTCCTACTAAATTTTCTTGCAACAGATTTTGTATCACAGTAGAACCTTGCTAATTGTCTGAGTAACTGGGAAATCTACTGAGACTATGACTCTAGATAATACTACAAAATTCATTTTCTGTGTAGCTTAATTTTAATTTATAGCTATATTTCAGAGACAAATCTGAAACAGAAACATATGTTCTTTTCATAAAATTAAATTAGTAAGATAAAGAGGCCTGTGTTTTCACCATTTAATGGTTCTGCAGTGCTGAACACAAGCACCATAGAGAACAAATGTTAGAATGCTGTGTTACTGGCATTCATGACTGATACCACAAATTTCTTGGTTTTGTCTGCTGTGTATCAAGATACAGTCCAAAATACAGAGAGGAAAGCATCAAATACTCTACAAAATTAAAAACTGAGACTCTTTATCTGCTCTTTTTAAAATAACTTCCAGATAGGGTTTTTTGCCTCCTGAGGCAGTTGTTGCTGCTCCTTCATTTCCTTGCAGACTACGTGTTATCACTCACCTTTACAATGAGTGGGAGGAGATGCAAAACAAATGCAGCAGCCTCTTTCAGAGGCTTAGAAGAACCAAAACCAGGGGGAAAAAACCCAAGAAAAAGACAAAAATTAAGTCCACAGATTATGACATGAAAGTTAAAGGATTACAGGATGCTGCTACTGAAATAAAAATTTCCATGAGGTTAGTCTGTGTAAAATATATACAGTTTGATAAGAAAACTTGTAAGCTATCTGCCACCTTGACTACTATCTGAAAAAATGCATTTTTGTCCTGAATCTGAAGCAGTCCTTTCATTTATAACAGACAACTGACATTTTTCCTCTGCTATTCAAGGTAAGCTTTTTTAACATTGCTTTAGAACTACAGCAACTTTTAGGTAGGCAGTCAAATTTCCTACACAGAGGTATCATGAAGAATGTACTAAATTTTTAGAAATTAATTTGTAAGAAAGTGGGAGTAAATGAACTGGTTCTGTTTTTACTAGACAGCTCTAATTCTGCCAGCAGAGAAAAATCACCGAATAATTATAAATACCTAATTTGCCAGTGGTTGAATAAGCTGCAAGAAATCCACGTCCAGAAGTGTGAATTCCACTCATGAACTGTACTGTGATTTCATTACTTTTTGAAGTAATTAAACCAACCATTTGAAAGCCAAATCCACAGTATTTTCCTGTGGAGAGAAGGAGGAGAACAAATATTGACCCAAAACAACACATGTAATAAGCATCTTATGCAATTTCCAGCCTCTTATTTCATCTGCAGTGTAGGCTCACATTACTTCTGGTGTATATTCAAAAGCAAATACATGAGAATGATACTAAATAATGCTTAGTAGTCATTTAAAGCAAATGGCAGACTATGCATTCCACATTTGTCACTGTCAAAGGTCTGGCATACCCCAATATCTGCAGATAAATGTGACCTTGTCCCATTCATCTCTAGCCATGCATAACCTCCACACTCAGAGTTTCAAAGAACATGAGGAATCTCACAAGGAAAAGGATCAAGTTAGGACAATGAGAAGCATCTATCAAAGCAAATGAGAAAAAAGTCCTTCTTTTCCCAAAGCTGCTGAAGCATTTCCTCCTCATAGACTCCTCCATGGCTTCTGTCACATACTTTCCCTAATTCTGGACAGCAGCAGGCACAACTCACTGCATTTCAGCAGTATCATACATATATCATATCACAGGTAAGCACCATCAACATAAATTACCAGTTAGCTCACTTTCGATTTTGTCACACCTAAAAAACCTAACTGTGGTATTCACACATTCTTTGAACAGAGAGAGACATAATTCTCTCTCCCAGGATTTTCCTGGGAAGCTGAAAGTCTGTGAGAAAGCTCAGACAAAGAAGAAAAATAGTTCTTATTTTCACTTGCTGCATCTGTTGTATGGCACGTGGGGAATGTGTTATGGAGATTGTTTACCAAAAGGGATTTATTAATTGGACACTGGTGATGGTGTTTTGGATTGACTGACCAGTTAGGTCAAAGCTGTGTCGTGACTGTCTGTAAGGGTCACAGGTTTTTCTTTAGTATAGTATAGTATTAGTGTAGTATGTAGTATAATATAGTATAGCTTAATAAAGCATTTGTTCAGCCTTCTGCAATCATGGAGTCAATGCACGTTACTCCCTGGTCGGGGATCTGCCTGAGACAATACAAAACAAAGGTTCTGTACCTGGGTGCTTCTCTTGTCATAAAAAATGAACAAAAATAAAACCATTTCAACTGCTGGAGTCCACAGATATTGACAGTATTTGCCCTATGAAGTTCTAGAATTGATACCACATTAATGGATGAATGGCTGTTAAACACGCCCCAGTCAATATGGAATTCTACAGTCCTACTAACTAGAAGCTTTAGTAAAGATACTGACCAGTCAATTAACTTGTTTAGAAAATCTTCTGTTCTACAGGCTACCATGATCATTCGATATTGTAGAAACCATCTATAACCCTATTTAAGATTCTGCAGTGGATAAGCGAAGTGGATAATCACCAGCAGTAAATGACACTGCCTCTGTTTCAGCTCATCATTCCACTTGCTTTCCTCATAATAAGTATGTTATCATATAGCAGAAATAGCAGAAAAAGAGGCAAGACTCCTTCCTCAAATAAAGGCAAATTACTATACTAATGTAGAGGAAGTGGAGTAACAGAGTCCTCCCGGAATAGTTCTTAACAAATATAATACAAAATAAATAGAAGATGTACAGCAATTTCCTTTAAAAAGTGAACTGCACTCCCAAACACTATCAAAATAATTTTTAAAAATTTAAAAGTTAAAATACAAATTCCTGTCATTATTCAGAGCTTTCTAGATGTTGCTCAGTCAGATTTTTTTTTAACAAAGCAAGGGTATCTTCTAATAAAAAAACAAAAAACTTTCTTTTAAAGTTTTGTTTCCAGCCACTGGATCTTGTTACATTAGTGACCATCATGAGACTCCTCTTAAAACCCCTTCTTCAGGCAAATACACAATGCAAGCCATTTAAATCCAGCTTGGATAAACTCTCCAGTGCTGCCTGCCCCATGGACATACAGCCTTTGAAAAACTGTAGAGTGATGCTCTTCATGATTCATAGCACGGCATACTTTTGAGACTACAAATCATTTTTCTAACTCTTCCCTGGCCTCTTGCCTGATTTTTTACAATCTTTTAAAAAGCAAGCACTAGGAATGGACAAAGCATGACGACAGCAACACCTTTGTCAGAAGGTGTGTGCAGAAGATGTAATATTGCTATTTTGTCTGTGCTTACGCATTGAAGGATCCCGAGTGCTTTTGTATAGCTACAATACAGCACGAGAGGAAACTCTCATGTCTTAAATAAGTACATCTGACTGCAGATGCACAGTGATTTGACTGTACTGAAATCTCACAAACTCCTCTAGATCTCACACTAGAGACAAACCCAACACTGAGCATTTGAATCTTCTTTTTATTTCTTTATAAATACTCAACAGGCTTGGAATAAGCACTAGCCCTTAAAAGTTTCATTAGAAACCCTCTCTGTTTATCAATGAACCCACTAACAATTTATTTTTTAATCTAACCAGCCAACTTTTAAGTCATTTTGGGTTAAAAAAGGTATGACCGAATTTCAGATTTTACATAAAACAAGTATTTTAATGGTAGACCATGTCAACAGTCTTGAATGGAAAAACTTAGGATAAGTCCAGAATTTTCCCAAGAAAATTCAAGTCACTGTTTAATCTCTCCAGTGTCTGTTGCTTCAAACATTAAAAAAACACCCCAAATCTTGCCTCATCTGCATTTGCCACTGTTAACATCACTGTCCTTTGACTTAATAAATTAAGAGCAGAACAACACACACATTTCCCAACATGCTGCGCTGCTCCACGAACAGGCCACAGCTGAAAAGCAAGGGAAACAAATAAAGCAGGAATTTACTTGAACCCATTAAGTCCCTTGTAAAAGTAATAGACTTATCAGAACTTGATATTCCTTGCCATTTAAGGTTTTCAGTGTTTCCTATTTTAGACCAAGTTTGGCTCACCAGCTCCAAACACATACTTATTTTCACACACACTTACCTAGGTAACAGTCGGAAAAGAGGGTTAATAAACCTAACACTCCACTAGTCTCTTTAGAAAAAGACTCAATTTACTGGGATCAGCATTTGATTTGCACAAAAACAGTCTCAGTGAAGTAAACCTTTTTCTCCCTCTCCAAATTAAAGCTTTAGGAAAGAAAATAAAGTTCATCTGCATAATAGCTAATTTTAGAAAAAGAAAAATGACAATTCATTTTCAGTTTTATGCAAAGTAACTGTTAGGGTCTAAACACCCTACATACATCTTGATGTAGATGAGAACATCACACTATTTGAAAAAAAAAAACCCCAGACTTCTAGTGGTGAAATTATCCCGAAGAAAACGAAAACGAAAAACATTATCAGAGGATGGAGGATATTTGGGACTATATGCCTTTTGAAGCCTGTCATCCTTTAACACCACCAAGATAAACAGCTCAAATTGGAGTAAATCCATTTAAAAAGAAAGGCCTTTCAGGTAAGATAAAGATAGATAGATAGATAGACAGACAGACAGACAGACAGATAGATATTTGCACCTTTTTTTTTAATTAAGATGCTTCTAGTTTTACAGTTCCCGCTTCACTGTTTACAAGAACTTTGCAATCTACTAGGAAATGTCAAGAGAAAAAAAAACCCACATTGCAGTGGAGCTTCGAGAATCTCAAGAATCTAAGATTATTACAGGATCTGTGTTGCATTTAGGATGCAGCTGGTGTTAAAAAGTAACAAAAGTAACAAAATACACCTGAGTTCTCTACAAGACAATAGTTCTCAAATACTGACAATTAAAGCTCCTACCTATTTCTGTCCTGTTGGGGCCAATGCCATTATGAACTCTCAGGTAACTGGAATGACAGGAATCGGAGTCATCAATATCAAAATCACCAAACTTGAGCTGAACTCGCTGCCCAGGCTTCACACGGATTTCCCACTCACACACAGTGCTATTGGGAGAGGTCTGGGGGTAGTTTATGGAGGCCAGGGTCCCGCTCTCAGGGCCCAGCACAGTATGTCCACACCCATCACCTAGGAAAGAACAGACAGAAATCAGCTCCCATGTTCATCTTCAAAGCCTCATACCACACCATGCAAACCACATTGTGAGAAAACTCCAAGGTAACTCACATGCAAATGACACAGCAATGGTGACAAATACCACTCAACTACCATTGCCTTTTGCTTAGCTTATCATCACAGGCAACCACAGAACTGCTACAACATCCTCAATGAGATGGAAAGTGATCCATAATGACTTACAAAACAGCATGGACAGTAAAGGAAGTGTCCCTGCTATTTTGTATTTCCTCAACACCTCAGTACAGAAGGAAACAGGTGCTGAAAAGGACACAGAAACTTGACAATAAAACAAGAGCACATTGGTTTTTCTGAGTTACTGTACTCACAACACTATGAAAAAGAAGTACAAAGCCATTGGACAGCAAATAAAATACAGCATATTAAATAAAGCTCTGACTACTACCAAACTGCAAATATGTTGTTTTTTACTGTACCACTATTTTAATCCTGCAATTCACTCCTATTTCGAGAACACACTCAATTTTTTTGAATTTTCCTGTGACTCCAACCTGGAGCCTTCTACCTAATATTTGAGTATTAATTTTAAACACCAATAACAGTACTAAAACTAATTTAACAAATGGAAAACAATATCACAAATTGTGTATTGTCAACACTAAATTATAAAGAGCAAACTGATAAATTCTATTACTCAACAGCTAGACATGCATTTCACCCGGTATGTAGCACAAAAGGAGCAATTTCTGTGCTGGTTTAGAAATGTGAATGTTCTTAGAGTAATGTTCACAATGCTCAGCATGATTCCTATTGACAGAAATTTGTTGTGACAGTTAAGTGTTTAATATTACACAATAATACATGTAGTTCCTCTACTGAATATGAAAAGGTAAGCTGAGCTTTAGGTCCAAAAACTGTACATACACTTAAGAAATTTAACTAAATTTCAAAATTCTTAAATGTATTACATGTAAGGCTGAGTGGAAAACTAAGTCCAATGCACTGAAGCAATGCAGAAAAAACAAACCCCTGTGATTAAGTTAATTAGGTCTGATTAATCTATTTGCAAACACAACTAATTTTTGCTAACAAAAACTATTCTCCTTATAATCTGAGCACATTGAAAGATAGCTGCAGGTTACAAAAGCTAAAGTACTGGTAGTATACACAGAATCATAAATGGATGCAGATGTAAACTGCAGCTGTTTATCTTGCTAGCAGTCTGGAATGAAAATTATACATACTTGGAAAAGTTAACTGGAATATCTGCTTAGTAAAATCAAAACTTGTATTTGTGAAGCTGTTCTTCAGCCATATTTTCAATAATGCAATTTGCTTTAAAACACTTTGTTCTATCTCATGGCAACTATGATTTCTATTTGGATGACAGCTGATCAATTACTTTTCTAAGTTAGAGTTTTTCTAACACAAGACACCATTGTTCAACATTACAAAGAGATAACCTACACCGCATGTTTTATATATCACTATAATCCTGGTTTCTTTCAAAAGGCATGTTATAAACCAAAGAAAAGTGAAAGCTTTATCATGCAGAGTCTGTATGGCCTTGGTTTATTAGCTACCATGTATTCAAATGTCAGATTTCTAATTAGTCTTAATACGCTAACACTTAACAATAAAAGACTCCTTTTCTAGTAAAATGGCTTTTCACAAGCAAATACACACACTATAAAGTGCATGGAATTTTTTTACATAAACAACAAAAATCAACAAATACATTCATGGTGATACATGGAATTAGCATTTCAAAACTCTTTATACTGCAGATATAAAAATAATTATCAACACAAGCAGCAGTCAGTTTTAGGCTATGTCCTAAACAAAAGCAATGAGCTGTTAACCAGTTCTGTCCTTTTCCTTTCCTGTGATGGGGTAAGCAATTGCTTATTCATTCACAGATTGAAAATACTGTGCAAATACACTGACACAGTGGCCTTCTGAATATGAAATCATACTAGCATTCACCTGTATGGGCAGATACACTGTTCTGAATGCATTTTAAGAGAAATAAAAATCCTTGCATGAACTATAATGCATAGAAGTTAATTATTTCTCATCTCAATAGGCCTGTTATTGCAATGCAGTCACCACACAAATAGTATTTCTTAAATGTTCATGATGAACAGCACACAGCTTTCTGATGAGAAAAGCAAAAGAACTCCAAAACACATTTAGGTGAGAAAATGCAAATAAAATATTTAAAGTTTTAAAAATTGTGACTTTTCTTTTAAAGACACATCAATAAAAAAACGACAACATTACCTCTTGTAGTTTGGAACAATGTATTGTTACCCATGGCTAGAGAGAAAAACTTTCTGATTTCCTTCACACAATTTAATGGAAACATCAATCTCAAACCTCCCTTTTGTTGCAGGTTTTCTTAAAAACATGAAAGAAAAAATACTCCTCTATGCATATTAAAGAATCTGCTGTCCAGTCATACCAGAAAATCAGGGAAAGGAACAACAGTTGTGCTGAACTGCAGCATCTTGCTATAAAGCAGATTTTTTAAAGTAGCTTACTCTGAATGGACACTTTAAATCTTTTTATTGTATTTCACTTAGGTTAGAAATGCCAGACACTTCATGTCTGAAGAATCTGAAGATTACCATGGCATATACAGTCTGTCAAGGGCAGCAGCATCACACACAAGCTATTTGGAAAATTTTAAAAAGCACAATTCCAGTGAAACTTGCAGATCCGTGAACCCACATCCTGCTGTATTGGTACTATAAAAGGACAGTTCTTGAGCCTCTCTGTGTAACGTGGCGCTTCATCATTTCTACCACACTTCTTTATACATCACTGATGAATTCCAGAGACACACACACACAACCAGCTTCAAGGGAGCAATCTGCAATACTCAGCAATTTCTCCAAGAAAAAGTGCAATTCTTTTCACTATGGCAGCATACAGGACAGTAGCCACTTCATTCATTTGCAAGTCATGAAGTGCCACAGAATCTTTTGCTTCTGTTAACCTGTGAGAGTAGAATATCTAAGAACACACAGAAGACAGACATCAATCCCCTTCTCAATTATTCCTGGATGGGCTGACAACCTGTGTTGTCAGTACACACCTGAACAGGTCTCCTGCTTTCTTTCAGAGTTCTCTGTCACACCACAGGCCTCCCACACTTGCAGGATAGATTAAGTCCTTTGTGGGAGCACCAGGTCACTGTGTGCACGGTGTGCACACATCACACCTGACATGTGGAGGGGCTGTAGATGTGCATCCAATCTCACATGTCCCGGGGACCAAGTTCACAGCAAAAAGGAAAAATTCAGCTCGTCACCAAAACTTGTGTTAGAAACATGGACATCTCTTAAGCAGCTGGCAGAGGAAGGCAGACTGCTGCCATCAGGAGAAGGATCCATCTGTTCTCCAGGCACCTCTGAATGCAGCCTGGATGAACCCTCCTGACAGAGCTCATATGAGCCCTGGGCCATGGCACACTGATGTCTGATGCAACATGCCAATGGTTGAAAACAATTTCTTAGAGCCAAGTTCTTTACATCAACAAAATACAGGAGTCAGACCAACACAAACATAACAAATCCTAAGGATTTTGATAGTTGAAGAAAATGTGGAATTTAATAAAATGAAAGAATACTGAACATGCAGGAGTGGGTGCTAAGTTATTAATACCCACCAAAAAAAAATTAACTATACTCTTTAGTTGTGGAAGTCAACCAGAGCTTTTCCTCCTGGAGAACAGTCACTATTAGTGACCACTAAACTTCTTCTCACTATCAAAACATGTTTAAAATAATTTTTTAGACCAGTGAATACTTTTCCTTTCTTTACTTGGAGAAGAGTGAATGATAAAGACATTAGACAGTTCAATATTATAACCTATAAAGAATAGCCGATGCATATCAAAACACCAATCTCAATTTTAACACATTGCACTAGCTTTTGAACAGACTCAATTTAACCAGAGGGTTTCCTGAGAAGATTTTACATATATAAGCTATTATTTTCTGTATGTTTGAGACTAAATATTGGATGTAATTGAAAGTTTAACTAAACAAAGGTAGAACCAAATCTGTAAGAGTCATGTAAGAAAAAAAGGGTATTTTAAAACATTCGTTTTAACTTCAAATACACAACTCTTTCTGATTCCATGCATTACTATAATTTCCCCTGTTCTGTTCAGCTCCTGTGCTCTGCATTTCCTTACTTTTTCTCAGCATACCACTAAAAGACACGCACATGCTTTTTGCTTTTCTCAGTGTGGGCAAGAAAGTTTACACAGAGACAAAAGAGTTCCATGAATAAGAAACACTGAGGAATTAAATCACAGAGACATCAAAGTCTAAATAGCTTTTTCAAGTACTTTCAAATGCCCTTATTTGCATCCTCCAAACTCACTGCTGTTTCCACCAAATTCCACAGAGTGATGTTTTTCAGGAAGCAATCTGTTCCACTGTCAGAATTAATTTTCTTACCAAGCCAGGAAGCACACAGTCCACTTTGATCTTAATGCCATTTGCTTTCCTCGGTAACACACTGGTTTGGTAATTTCATTCCATTACAGACGTTTCACAACATAAAATAGCCCACACTGTCACAAGCAAGGCCACAGCTCAATAAACACTTGAAAGCACTTTAAATTAGCACAGCCACAGACAAAAGCAAGCCTTGTCTACCTCTCACTTTTGGCCACACGTTCTCACACCCTTCCTGGTACTGGAGGCAAACATTTACGAAACCACATGACCAACCAGAGCAGGGACTTGGCATAAAAATAGCTGTTGGTTTTAACCGAGAGCACTCCCCAAATTTATTTGAGTATGCATATGCAGCAGTGCCTTCCTTGACAGAGGGGTAGGACAGTAGGGGAACACCAGCAACTGCTTCTTTCATCAGGATTGACAACCCATGCTTGCATTTTAAACAATCTTGAACACCAACCAGAGAGGTAGAAACCATCCCAACCCTGAGAAGAGCAGTCACACCAGAGTGGT